GCGTCCATCACCCTGAGAAATAATATTAACAATGTGTCTGTAGTTTCACTAGCTCCCTTCAAAATCGGCATGCAATAGCATTACAGGTGGCAGCATAAGGAAATTAAATTTAAATTTTATACAATTTAGTTGAACATTTCCGGAGATTATTTCCGGATGTAAGTAATAAATGCGACTAATTATTCACTTCATCTAAATCTATAATGAAATCTAATAAAGCGCCAATAATGAAAATGGTGATAAAATTAAATTTAGATTTTGTTTTAACAGATCTACAACACACTTTAGCAAATCTAAACCATACATAGTAACACTAGAGGCTAACAAGTAAATGAGCCATTTGTTTGAAGGTGATCATTGTGACCCATGGACATTTGCACCACTAAAGAAGCTGTCTATGCCTTGCCGGTCTTTAGCCGCTCACGCGATGCGCTCCTCCTACCGCAAAATAGCGGCTATTTGGTTTCGCAAAATAGAAAAGGATTCAATTTAAATACAAGTTTTTATAAATAAAAATTATTATTTTGCATTGCTAAATAAATACCCTACGTACTACCAACAAAAACATCTCAAATAAAATGCAGTAATACACCGCAAATCCTGCACTTAAAAAGCACTAATGAAATTTTTGGTGTACTTGGATAAATATGATAATATTCCGTTTGAGTGGTTCTAACGTTTACCATGAAATTACTCCTTAAAGTATAGTTTATAAACATTTATATTCAGGGTAAACTTAAAACACGCTACTTACGGTATGTTTTCAATAAATAAACACCGAAATCACCAGCCCAAACAATAACACACACGATTGTCGTGACGTATTTTTGAAGTTGTTTATTTTTTTAAATTACAGACCCAGGCATTAAAAACTTTATGGTTTGCTAGAGTAGTTACCGAAATAGCAATTAATATTAGTTCTTTTGCCTGTTATAACTTCGATATCCGATAAATCGGTATAAAATCATCACCGCCACCTCTAGGTGTAGTATGCGTCTACGGCTGCATGTATCGCGTGAGCGGGTATGAAATCTGTTTACTCGCTTTTTAAAGAAATGTCATAGCTCAAAGAAAGCATTTCAAGACAGATGTGAAATGGGTTTCTGGCGGCGGGATTTTTTTTATATCATAAATATTTCACGAAATCTCTTGCAAATCCCAGTTTTGTGTTTTAATACCTGTTGATGAAGCCTAGTGTTGATCTTTAGGTTGTAAATTTATGATCTTTATTTTTAGCAAGAAATTAAATTAAAATCTGAGTCTACTTTGTACTTGAACTTGAACTTGCTTAGTTCGCCATTTTTGTTTTGCCGATGTCAAAGTTCGTTTTATAAATCTCTTAGACTTAGAATGTGAGGCATCAAGAAATGTGGGGACTGGCTTTACTCGTTTGGCGGGAAGTGTGGCAGTGGAAACGTGACGGTGGCATTATCCGTGGTGCAGACGTTGAGCCAACGTCTCTTCGTAGACCAAGAGGCTCCAAATCTATCGTCTGTGATTTTGGGATCGTCAACAACATCAACAGCCCGATGTTGGGCGAAGTCAAGTGGAACAAGCACGTATTTTCGAGCTCCAGAGATGCGAGATGCTCTGCATGGGGTCGTAATTGCGCTTTATATAACTAAAATCGATGACCCGGTTTGAAATATCGCTTCGCTCTACTGAGATGTAACGAAAGTTGTGTACAGAAATTGCTCAATTATAAGTAATGCAGATTAACTATGTCTTAATGCCGAATGTTGAGAGATTTGTAAGTTAACAATAATCCTTCAAACAATGCTTGCATCTGTTAGTGCAATCCTGAAAGCAGTTCGTGGCACGTCCTTCGACAGCTCTATTTTTAAATGCTGGATGTCTGAAACTAAATTATTTAAGAAATCAAACGATTTGTCCGGATTTAAATCGCGTATATTTGTTTTTTCAACCGTGACCATGGGACCTGTGAAGGGCACGAAACGTTGGTTTGTTTGACAAAACAAATATACGCGATTTAAATCCGGACAAATAGTTTCATTTCTTATGTGTAACAATCGCGAAAACCTAAGAACTCGATAAAATATTTCATTTATTTTTATTTAACACGTTGTAATGTGAACATTATTGTGTTTCGGTTTTGAATAATAATAATAATAATAATAACACACACACTCAACACAGCCTCGCACTAGGGAAACCCTGTGTCGCGGGTGCCATGGACACACATATAGACAACCACTAATTACACCCAAACTCACGAGAGAAACAAATGTAGGTCATACAAATATTTCTTCCGGCCCGGGAATCGAACCTGGGACCTCTGCGTGGCAGTCCGGCATGGTAACCGTTCGGCCACAGAGGCTGTTTTGAAGGTTTAAGGATGCTGGTGAAATTATACGCACATGGGACTTTTCAGTTTATGTCTCAGGGTGACGAGCGCAGTGGCAGTGCTCGTCAGATAGTCGCGATTCAAAACTCTGATTGGCGCTGCAATTGTCAAGTCGTGTCGCTTACTACCAGGTGCACGACTTGTTCGTCCCGTCGTCGTTTGGTATTATAAAAAAAATCAAACCATAATACGTCCTATTATACACACTGTTCTTCTTTTTATCATCTTTGCTCCTCACAGTTCATAGCCAGTTCCTTGTACTCTTTATTTCTAATTGATCGATTAGCTAATCGCTTTGCTGTTCTTCTTTATTTGTTCACTGTACGCCATTTCATTTCTTCCTCTCTTTCTTTTTCCTTCTATCTTCCCCATTAATTATAACTTTCACTAATTTGTATATATACATATGTGAGAGCTAAAGCACTACCGTCACATCGAAGCCTTATGTCTTAAGTACTAATTAGCCAAGGATAATGATTGATAATTAGATTAATTAGGCCAGTTAGCGGTGTCAGGCATATGTTAATTATGAAGGTATTGAGAACCTTGCACTGGCGAACAGTCCACGTAATACTATTGTCAATGATTGCCTTAATCTTCTCATCATCATCATCGATCGCATTATGTCCCATTTCTGGTTATGGTCATCTTTAAGAAGAGCATAGAGCCCGATGTGCATTTTCTTATTTCGAAAAAGTCATGTCGCCGGTGTTCGCCAATTAAAAGTCCCTCAGTGAGTTATGGAACGAGGTACGCTTAGAGTTTCTCTGAAGGATAAGATTCGAAATGAGTGACGATCTGCTAAAGGTTGCTGGCAGCAGACAGATGGATGGCCTATTCATAACATTTGCAGTGTTTAAATCGCACTGATCTCAGGGCTACTGCGACTGCGAATAAAGGGTGCTGGTGTAGTTCCACCAGCTTAGATACTTAGATATTTTCGATTTTAAAGGTTTGAGTGGCACTGCAACTGCTATGAACAGGCGTGTATCTTATTATCAAGCGCATGACTTGTTCGTCCCGTCTCTTGATATTATAAAAAAAACTTCTCAGGGGAATCAGTCTTACGAATGAGTATAATCAATGCGACGATGTCAAATGTAATTTGCTAACCAATGCTATGAAGATTATTTAAATTGTCTTGGAATTTTTCGAACTACAACTACAAAGTTTTCGACTCGACCTTAACCCATGTTACCTTGTCTATAGAACCTATGTGTAATTGTGTATGACATTATGTATGGAAACCTGAAAAATCTTTTAGACAATTAGATATGGACAGAATAGATGTGCTCTTGATAATTGAAACTTGACTCTTTGGACTTTGGACCGTTCTTATCGCAAATAGCATAGATCTGAATTTAATTCTTCAGTGTCAAGATTAAAGTGCACTTGACCTTGTAAATATCAAGATTGTCTTTATTTTCAAACGTTGAAAGGCCACTATTTTACTTACTTTACGCAAATTCTTAATTACAAAGTGATGTGAACATTACTGCGTTTGGGTTTTGAAGAGTAAGGGTGCTGACGAAATTATTGGTACATGAAGACTTGTCAACTTATGTCTCAGGGTGACTTCAGGGTGAATATGGAAAATATAATAAGCAGTAATGTACATATTACTGCTTGGCGGCATTAATTGGTGGCATTACTTCCTTGGACGAATTCTTTCACAAGCTCTAAAATAAAGTTATTAATACTTTTTAGGCTAATTATTCGTGATTAGTCATTGTTTATTTCTTTGTTCTTGTTATTGTTGTTGCAAGTTTTAGTGTATACACATCGTTGCTTTTCACGAACAGTGGCTCAATCCAAATTTGATCCTTTTCTTATTTCTTACTGACATTTATTCAGACAATGTTATATTTTGTTGTTATTGGGTTCCAAGCTTTCGTTGCTTAGAATAATCATATGACAACATTGGCGTAGTCTACGTTTCGTCGAGTTTGGGCGGCAGACGCTTCTCAGCTCTTTCAGCTTTCAAAATTGGTGTTATTTCTTATAAAAAGTATATTTATTTCAAAGAATTAGAAGTTATCAAGTTCCGATAAAATAAAGTGGGATAATGTGCAATGTGCAATAATTACAATTGTAATTGTTTGCAAGAAGTAATTAACCTAAATCGAAAATTAGACTTAGTTATTTCTGAATGTAGTCGTTATGGCGAAGGGGTTTTTAGTGCACATGGTGCACAAGACCGTGTCTAGCTTGACTTTTAAGATTCGACTCTATGAAGCTTGTGAGAACAGTGGTTCCAAGTTCAAAATATCAAGTTTGATGTGGTAGGCTGTTTTCGAAACTGGTATCCGTAATAATATGGAGGAGAAATTAATTAGAGATCCCACATCAATTTTACATGTTGGGCTAAATTAAGCTAAATAAAGCTGTAATATTGCCTATTTATAATTCTTGATTTTGTTTAGATAACTTTATTATAGAGTTTGTTTAAATTCTGTTGCGGAAATGTCAGGGTCAAACATCGACCGCCAATTTTGTAACTGCTTAAATATGGAGTTTTGTTTCAAAAACCTTTTAGTTATAAATGCACGTGTTTACTAACAAGTGCTTATTAATACGTGTAAAATGTTATTCAAAGGATAATTAAGTCTTTAGTTTAGTAAAAAATATGACTTACCCGGCTTCCCGATTATCAACGGAGTTGTTCGATGACCGGGGCACCAAAGGTCTATAGCACGAACGTGTCATTGTCTTTTATTCTACAAATAATGCCGCACAAGTTTTATTTACAAACAAACTCTTGCACTCTTGTGTAAATGCGACTGACATTCGCCATATAGTTCTGACTACTGATTGCCGTTGTTTACTAGATATCAACGGTATCTTATCACAGTGTTAGTTCACACGTTGTTTGATAATTGCTGGATTGTTACAATACAACAAACAAATAAGTATGTAACGATAACATGACGAAAATAGAGTATATAAAGGGTATTTACGTTTGCGGAGAAATACTGAATGGACCGATCAATAATGTTAAAGTTGGGGTGAAAGCTCGCGGCGGGATTGGACCACGCCTCCAGGCCGGTTCCGGGGTTTCTAAAATTATGCACAGCACCATCTAGCGAACGAGCGTTGAAGTTTTTCGTAACTTGATTCACTGACGGTAGTTGCAAGTTCTCAGCTGTTTGGTATATTATTGATTTTCTTTCTACACTTGTACGTAAGATACTGTAGATTTAAAAGTGGATTTAACTTCATTCGTTTCTCTCTAAGTTTGCAACACAATCAGATTTCCTTAGGTCCTTGTTAATTGTCTCTTGAAGATAGACTGATAATGAAAATTACTAAATACTGTACAGTACAATAACCGTGAGGTAGACATACAACGTAGTTTCCTTATTGCATACTATAAAGTGATGTAGAGTTTTCATAGAATACAAAAATACATTTATTGCTCTTTAAGATATGCGTTACATATTGTTCTAGTTACAGAGTGTGTTTTATTTAATATATCAAAAGATTATAGTCGCTAAAATTATGAATTTTTCTTATCTTCTATTGGCATAGATTCCTGAGTAGTCTTTTCGGGTAATTCTTTTTCGGTCTTTTCCTTATCGGCCTTTTCATTCTCGTCATCTTCTTTAGTCAATTCGTCTAGCTCTTTTTCTGCGTCTCTCAGATCTTCTTCAGTGATGTTCAGATCTGGGTAGCGTCTCTGAAAATAAAGGCGGGATATTTACAATTATCCTATATTTGGGTAGCGCAGGTTTAGTGGACTATGAAGACTACATTATTGTTATCAGATGAATTTAAAGAACATAGGCCCATTCGTAATAAAAATCTTCCAATATATTATATGTTTAAATGTATAATGAATATGTATTTAGGAAATGAAACTATTTTTCCGGATTTAAATCGCGTATATTTGTTTTTTCAAACAAACCGACGTTTCGGGCCCTTTACAGGTCCCATGGTCACGGTTGACTGAGGTGGTACAGTCCTCAACCAGTTATGTCTAATATTAATGCAAACCACCCTATTTTTCCACTACAGTTCTAATAGTCATTAATTAAATACCTTATTTTAATTTTACAAAGAAAAAAATCCAATTTACGCTACATTAAAATAATTTGTAAAAGTTAATGTAGCGTAAATTGAAAATAATAATAATTGTAATAAAAAAAATTGTTTGTAAAATTAAAATAAGTAATAATAATAATAGTTATTTGTTATGCAAGGCTGCAAAGTCGTTGTTTGACGCGAGTGAATTGATTTTTTGATTTTAATTGATTGAAACCTGAACCAGCTAAGATTGAAAAATAGATTCCTGAGCGTGGTGAGAGGGTTTCAAGCCACGAGATGAACAACTTTGCTGCCGAACGAAATGCACAAGTTTTCACCTCACTATAGCGAGGAAAATGGTAGATGAAAGAAAAGCAGTTGAACTATAAAATATCACTATTTAATCAAAATAAAAAGTTTACCTTCGGATGTGTTCTGAAGTGTGATTAAGTGATAATTGAAATTATTTTAGTTCTCCGACGAATTAACATAATTTGATAAACACAATTAGTTATTATTGTCAATTTAATGTCAACAATAATAAGAATGAATACCAACGGATTTATGTTACCTACATAACTAAGATTTATGTTACATAGAAAAAAAAAATTTGGTGCACCGAAGTCCATCGTCAAGTTCGAATTTCAGAAACCTTTCCCACTAGCTAGCTAGCGTGCAAAAAACGCTTTTGCGCGATTTCTAATAAAAAAGAAAGCCTCTCCAAGCTAGTAAGGTGAAAAAGAATTTGCCTTGTTTGTCTAATCAACAAATACAACAAACACCGAACTTGCGTTACCGCGCGCTGGTCGGTTTCTTCAAATACTATGCTGACTGTTCTACGTGTAGACGGTCATATTTGTTTGCATGTTTATCTGTACGTCAAATATTTTTCAAAGTACATCAAACACCCAACAACCAATACAAGTAGCCATGTGAAGTGTCGCCATTGGATATAGTTGACTAATACAATTTCAGTCAGCCTTGCGATGGGTAACTTAGTTGTCGTACGATTTATTTTCATTTTTATTCACAACGCCCGAATCGAACGTCAAACTGTCATAGTCACACAGCCACCGAAACAATGAATTTATTGCAAAACCAAATTTCACGAAATTCAGCCGTTAAGTGGCCAGCTCGATTATGTGATTCAACAGCGCTGGATTCTTTTTCATGGGGTTATGTTATAGACACAAGTCTATATAATATATCGATAATCGATAAATAATCGTGAAGTGATTAACGAAATAGACCCACCATTCTGTCAAAAAGTGATTAAAAACTTTGATGCAGGAATCGACATCTGTAACTGTGGTCGTGGTGGACATTTATCAGATATCATTTTTCATTCATAATTGCCAAACCTTACTCTTTTAATACAATAAAAATTTGAATCGTTGTCATCTAAATTTATTGTTTTTATTTGATTTACAAAACAAAGTTCTTGTTGAAAAGCCCTGTGCATCTGGATTACCTTGTTTTACTATTGGGTAGTAAGACCGGGGTCTTCAACAATCTCTGTATACTTACTTGCAACTCGGCTAAGGTATTCTGCATAGACTCCTGCTGTGCTCTCAGGCGACGTGGCAATGAGAACATTGCACTGAACAATCTGAGCATGAGCCAAACGAGCCCGGTGAGCGCTCCATACGTCAACATGGCCTTCCCCATCGCCCAGTAGTCAACACTAACTTGTTGATGCTTCATAGCTGCGCTTTCTGTCTTAGTGGACGGTCGAAACGAGAGCCAAGTGTAGAATGCAGCTAGAGAGAAGAGCCTACAGTCTGGATCTGTAACAGTAAATATTTTTTGTTTTTTAACACCAATTGAGTTGCAGTGCCACACAGAGCTTTAAATCGCAAAGATCTTAGGGGCACTGCCACTCCACCGGTCACCCTGAGACATAAGTTGACAAGCCCCTTGTGCCTGTAATTTCACCACTTTTAACACAATTTGTATTTTCACCAGCACTATTACCCTTCTAAACTGGAAAGCAGTAATGCTCACACTACTGCTTGGCGGCAGAAATAAGTACTGGTAAGACAGTACTTCCGAACTGTACGAACTCTTTAATAAGGCGCTCTGCTGCTACTAAAACTACTATTACTTATGCGTGGGGCGCACTAAAAGTTTCCGGAATGAATAAGAAAAAAATACTATAAATGGTCAGAAATGCATTTATTGCTGCTCAAAATATTCTCCGTTAGCGTAAATGCACTTTTTCATACGAATGAACCAATTTTGAAAACATTTATGCCACTCCTCCGTGACAATCTCTGAAATATATTTTTCATACTCCTCGTGAGCCTTTTTCAGGTGATGAAAATCGTTGACCTCGTTGAATCGTCGATCAGGACTGTACGCGAGATGGTTCCTAAGGTCAACGTTGTTCACATTCAAAAATTAATTTGTCAGTCTGGCCGTATGAGGACTGGCATTATCGTGGTGCAAGACGATACGGCGTTTACGGTTATTTTTACGGAGTTTGTCAATAACTTCCGGCAAACAAATGGTCGTGTACCTATCACTATTCACGGTACAACGATTCTCCAAAGCAACAGTAGCCACGTCTCCAGTTTTATTAAAAAAAGAAGCAATCATCCGCTTATAGGCACTTTGCACGCACGCCACTTTGGTTGGTTTCGGCTCATCTCGAAAGACCCATACGCTCTATTGCTGCTTTGGTTTGGGATCGTAACTATAAATCCATGTTTCGTCACCTGTTACGTCTCACACCAAAATTTGACGCGCCTTCGTTGAATCTGGTAAGCATGGCGTTGCAGCAAGTGACGCGGTCCGTTTTTTGAGCCTCAGTCAAATTGTGTGAGAATGCGTAACGCATTTTCCTCACGATAATAAAAAAAGGTTAGGTTAAAGGTTAACTTAGGTTTAAAAGACAAGGACGCGGCGGACGCGCTCCCGTTTCGGCGCAGACGTACGGGGAGAAGGCGAACGCAGTTCGCTGCTCGCCTGATCCCCTAGTGAGACCAGCGGGCTCTGGACAGGGACTCCGGAGCCTGCATGGCTCGGCCTCACTCGTCTGGGGGGCGGGTCGGAGGACAGCCGACTCGCCCCTCCGTTGGCGCGGGAGCCCTGGCGCAAGCTAGGGCAGCCGGGCTGCGTCGTGGTGAATGTTCACCGATCCCACGGCGCCGACTCAACCGGGGAGAGGGAAACCCGGGGGGGTTTTAGTGGCATAGGCCCTCCAGTCTGGAGGGCTCAGAGGTATCTATAAAGATTTTCCCCCAGTTAAAACAAAAGATTTAAAAGAGAAAATATTATCCTCTCAAAATTACTTTCGAGGTTATGAAAATTCGAGCAAATGTTATTTCTGGAAAATGTCATTTCGGACTTCTGATAGGTAACCTTGATATAATCTATGTATGTATTTATGTATATAAGTATGAATATATATAATTCTGCTTTTTGCACCACGGCTAGCGTTGGTTGGAACAAATCTCTTCTAGAGGTAAGCTCACCTTTGTTAAGGTCCTTTGTAACTTGTGTTTCATGTGTCTTTTCTTTGTGCAATAAAGAATTATAATGTTTTTTTTATTACAATAATATAATATAAAAAAAACATTGGTGTATGTGAAGTACCTATTGAATATAGCGGTTTTCTTGTAAAATTTCGAGGTAAGATTGTGTTTTTTTCTATCGTGAAAAGTTTTAAGGAATTGTGTTTTCACACCGTATTACTAATCAGTGCGTATCCCCAATTTTACTGTCATATTTTGGCTAAAGTAATTGATTCAACACTGTTAAGTGGAATCAACCAAACCCATTTGAGGTTGTATTGACTCTTAGGAACTATGGTTAGATAGTTTGATAGTCTTTTGCTGATCTGTCATTTAGTGATTTTTAACCACTTTACAAAGTGACAAGATCTGGCATTACAAAACCACATGTGATCATACCTCACAATTTGTCACATGGTGGCCGTGGCCAGGCGTCCATATAACTCGAAATTCACCGGCTACCTTAAAATTATCCACGTTACGTAGAATAAGTTGACCAGTGAAATAAAAATAATAACGCACACACTCGACATAGCCCCGCACTAGGGAAACCCTGTGTCGCGGGTGCCATGGACACACAAATAGACAATTACAAATTACACCCAAACTCACGAGACAAATAAATGTAGGCCATACAAATATTTCTCCCGGCCCGGGAATCGAACCTGGGACCTCTCCATGGCAGTCCGGCATGGTAACCGTTCGGCCACGGAGGCAGTTAAATGAAATGAGTGTACTAGTACCTTGTGTGCTAATAAGTTGTGTTTACGTGCCATTTTTTCTTTTGCTCCGGCAATTGCATGATAGTAAAAAAGAAATACAAACTACATCATAGAACAAATTATATATATGTGCAATTTTAAATGTCCTATTTACGTATAGAAAAGCTATCGACTAATTCCTTAGCTGGGTACAGGCCTCTTCTCACAACGGGAGGGCTGGTGCTGTAGATCCCAAGCGGTCCCTCTGCGGATTGGGACCTTCATACGCAAGTTTATTTCTCCATGATGTTTTCCTTCACCGAAAAGTGAGGGTAAATTTTTCAAATTCACGCCCTCTGCTTGAGAGACGATAGGTCAAACCATTAGAAGGTTTTCTTTCTCATTAGATCTGCGCGCAAAAGCGTTTTTTGTATGCTAGCGTGGAAAAGGTTTTTGAAATTCGAACTTGACGATGGACTGTGGTGCACCTAACTTTTTCTTTCGATGAAAGAAAAAAGATAATGGCACGTTCAATTAAACGATTTGTCCTATATTACAAGTGTAGTATAGTTATGTAACATAAATGCGTTGGTATTTTTCATTCTTATTATTGTTGACATTAAATTGACAATGATCTAATTCGTCGAAGAACTAAAATAATTTCATAAATCACTTAATCACAAAAATAAAAGTACAAGCAAGAATAAAAATTGATGAGTTGCAAATTCATAACACATCCGAAGGTAAACTTTTTCTTTTGATTAAAAAAGTGATATTTTATAGTTCAACTGTTTTTCTTTCTTCTACCATTTCCCTCGCTTTAGTGAGGTGAAAAGTTGTGTGTTTCGCTCGGCAGCAAAGTTGTTTTGCGTCTCGAGGCTTGATACCCTAGTCACGCTCAGGAATCTATATTTGAACCACTCGATTCGCTCGTGGTTCAATCATAGCTTCCTTCTCTTGCTCAGATATCAATAAAAGCACTTGCGGCATGTTTGTTTGTTTGTTTGTTGTTACAACTTTGCAGCCTTGCATAACAAATACCTATTTATCTTTTATTACTCAACACAATACAATATAACTGTAACATATTATTACTAGCTGAAATAAAATAACGTACTGGGAAGGTTGTATTTTATACACGTAGGTGTTTAGGAATGATAAAATTTATAGTTTCGTAAGTTTATTTTTAGGCGTTGAAAGCCGAAAAGAATGCAGTGCACAGATCAGACAGATAGCAGAATTTTGTCAACTTGGTTAACTTAACCTGTAGCTTAATTGGAAGAGCGATAGGGACGGAATCCCGTGGTCGCAGGGTCGAGTCCTGTTGGGAAGATAGAATTTTTCTTTGTGTTCGATCTTAGTATTTAATAATTTATTAAATACTAGTTCTTTTCATTTTGTTTCTTTCTTGTTTATTGCAAACAATCGAGGTTTCGGGCAAAATAGAAGATGATGTTCTGATATTGATTCATGGTTAATGACTTTGAGGGAATGGTTTGGCTACAGCACCATTTCGCTCTTTACAACGGCAAATTAGATTATTATAGAGTTCTTTTGTTTTTGTTTTTTTTTTTTGTTTATTTAAAAAAAAATCAATGTTTTGGACTCTTCACAGGTCTCATAGATACGCTTGACTATTTGAATAAACAAATAAACCCGGAAAAAGTACTTTCATTTTCAAATACTAAAATTATTTATTGTATTTTTCTACGCTCTTCGAACAATACGGCAAGAGCTCCTACAAGAACGAATAATGCTTTAAATATTTTACTATTTAAGACTATTTAAAACGCATTTTGGCCAAGCGCGTACACAATACAAAATTTTAATATTGAGAACCTAAAACAAAAATATACTTACAACTGACATTTATAAAGATGTGTATTAAATTTTAAATGTTGAATGTGAATAGCGCAGACGTATGTAAAGACATCAATATTAAATTAGACGTAACCGTGAGAAAGTGCAAATGTTACAGTTCTATTTCTATTGTGGGCTAGTTAAGAATTCCATGACGTGTTGGAATAAGTTCTGAATAAATATGGGAACATGCGAAAGATAGGAGGGCGTCAAAAGGCTTAGAAAAAATGCAATAATTATGTAATATGGTTCATTCTTAATAATCTATAATGCAGTGGCATAACGGGCTAGACCAAAAAGAAAAAACATATGTAGAAAAAAAAATCTGTGATCAGCAGACGTGGACAAACAAAGGAATGTAATATTAAGCTTTGTCTATTCCAAATTTTTTTTTATTTTATTATTAATCATGGACAATGACAAAAAAATCATAACAATTGACAATAATAAATGGATAAATAAAGCAACTGATGTTAAGCTTGTATCGACGACGTACTTACTAAAAATACCTTGTATCACATACACATTTTCAAACAATTATCTTGAGAAAAATTACTTTAAATACCAATTGAGAAGTATACGAATCTGTTTTACGTGTTTTAAAAGACAGGGGCTGAGAAACAATGACCTATTTCCCATCGATTGAATGTCGGTGTTTGCCACGAATTATTTAATGCTGCAGGGGTGGCCAACTGCTGCTAAATAAATACGTCCATGATTGATTTGAAAAATATTGACTCTGTACTCGCCGTATCTTGAAAATCTTATAGCGTTAAACGGTTACAAATGTAGAAGTACTTAATCGATAAACTAAAAAAAAGGTGTCATAAGTGCAAATTATCTACTCCAATTTCCGGAAAAAAAAAACTAGAAAACGAAGTGTCGGTAGAAGGTGTGATTCATATGCATGGTTAATGAATTTAAGGGAATTGTTTGGCTAAAGTACCGTACAGCTGATTCGATCGGCAGTCTCTAAAATAAGGATTACCATGATGTTGTCCAACCTCCGATAGGAATTTTAATTTATAAATTGCGTCTGCTGTCCCTTCCCCATGCGACTTCATCGTGAGCGCGGTCGACCTATAAGAATCATCTATTAAATTAGCCTGCAAATATAAAAACGGCTTTAAGATCAGCCCGTTCCTTTAGAGCTAAGATGCCACAGACTAAGGCTTCAAATTTATAACTCCCCTCTTTTTGCGTAAGGGGTTAAATAGATCAGTGGATAATGTTTGCTTTTTATAAATAAAATAAGTGCGCATTTCACCTCCATCTCACGTGATGGAAAGCGACGTTGAAGTCGACGGCGTAGCGTGCACACCTACATAATGCCTATTCACTTTCGCCTCGAAAAGGTTCAACATATAGCGTTCAGGGAATAAGTTCGCAGGCAGGGAATTCCACTCTCTAGCCGCTCGCCATGTAAATGTGAAAGCAAAAGGCTTTGTGCGAATCCTAGGAATATCTACAACATAAGGGTGGAACCCGAGCCCACGTCTAGTCTCAAGAGAAGAAGAAGAAGGCG